TAAACGAGAGTGGAATGTTATGTTTAATATTTTGCCCTTCTAGCAATTTTCCAAACTCCAGAATTTGGAAAAAATAAATCTCCAAATCAAAAAAAAAAAAAAAAAAAAAGAGGCAATAGTGAAGAACAGTACTTAGTAGGATGTGAAAGTAAACAACATTAAGACAGGGATGTTAGTTTAACTTTAAACTAGATAAAAAGAAGGTGAAAACAGGAGAATCCATGCACTACACTTAATGATTCAAAAAGCCTCAACTAAGTTCTGTACATATTTAACTATAAAAAGACTGCACAAACTAATTTTTCTTTGCTTTTGGGTGAAATTATATCACTTCGGTCTAGCAATATTAGCTTTCTCGGGTTAATCAAAAGTTCCTATTGGAACTTAAAAGTTTTGACTAACACAAAAATGGAAATGATTTAAGCACTTTATTTAGGATACAAAGTCATTCTGATCACAGTGGGTGGAGAACGAGTAGAAATAACAAAGAATGGACCTAGGTAAGAGGACAGTAGGAGTTAAAATGAGAATCCAGGTGGGTTTTATGAAAATATAAAAAGGGTTGAGAATCACTGGACTAGATTTACTTTATGTCAGGGATTACTTGAGACTATTTTGGTGTGAAGATTCTATCTGCAGATACCTTAAACTGGTGATCTGAAGGATGGAAATGACAGCTACCCTCATCTCTTTCCTTCCTGAAAGCTAAGGATAGAGAAAAGTAAAGCTGCTTCTCTGAGAAACAAAGATGCTCTCTACCATTCTTCTAAGATGGTGGAAGAGTCTTCTCAAGAAGCTTCCCCAAGGAAAAAAAAATATGAAAGGGGGAAAAAAGAAAGCCATAGCAGAATTCCCTGGCTGTGTTTCATGCCATTGCTTCTAGTCAGATCCTCTGTGCAATCACTCAGGTCGGGCCATCTCCCTCCAGGGAGGTTAAGCCCTCGCAGGGCATTGTTTGGCCAAGGTCCCTATTTACACCACTCACATCGCCTCCACCATCCCTGCGCGAGGGTCTCCGGAAGCCCCAGGGCAGCAAGATGAAAAGCCAGAAGAGGACCAGATTTCGAGGACCTCTTCCAAAGCCCTCTCTTACTAACTGGGGGAGGAAAGGGAGAGGGAAACCTGGCCTTCGCTTGGGTGGGTTCCTTAGTGGTCAGAGGCGTCCTCTCGGCCAGTATTGGAGGAAGGTGGCCATTTGAGCCGGTCGCTCCGCATCGAAAAAGCCCTACCCGAGACAGGGGCCTCCTCAGGCCCAGGGTTCCGTCCGAGTGTCAGGTGCGGCCCTCAGTTCCCAACCCTCGGGGTTCCGGCAGCAGCAGTATACAGGCCCCCGGGTTGAGACCGGTCTCCCGCCCGACCGCTGGGGACCTGGCACCGGGCTGGGGCCCGAGCCGCATCGTGCCCGCCCCCGCCCTACCTGAGGGGGCCCGGGCGGGGTCGCTAAGGGCCGCTCCCGGGAGCCCCGCGACGGCGCGGCTCGGCGACGGAGGCGCCTCGTCTCGCCGGGGCAGAGCTCGGCGGCGGTTTCACGGCCTCAAACTCCATCGGGAGCTACAGGGACAGCCCCGTTGGCGGCGGCGAAGGCCGCGGCGGGGCCTCCTCCTCCTCCTCCACCCTCCGCCTCCTCCTCCTTCTCCTCCTCCTCCTCCTCCTCCTCCTCACCACGGAGGCGGACCTGGAGGGATCCCGACTTAGCTCTCGCGAGAAGATTCTCTCCAGTACACGCGAGATTACGCAAGCCCGGGAGTTGGTGAGGTGAAAGAGAAGCTTAGTAGTCCCTGCCACCTAAACTGCGCATTGGCTTCTCTCTGGGCTAACCAATCCACCCTCATCACGTGACGAGGAGGCCCCGGAGCACTGTGGGACTGCTGTGATGAATTCTAGGCTAGGCGAAGGGATTGATGGGAAAATCCCTGTGCATTCATCTGCGCCGGCTAGACACTGTCGTGAGGTACTGTACTGTCAGTCTCCCACCACGAAGCGTGTTCTTTGAACAGAATCTTATACACCCGTGTTACTTTCTACTTCATTCTCCTGTAATGAAATGCTGAGCGGATCCCTCAATTCTTTCACATTGGTACCACGTAATCTGCCAATCACAAAACAAAAACACCAAAATGAAAAAGTTTAATTGGCAGACACTTACACCTCTCTAATCTTATTAAAGAGAAAACCCTGAACTCCTTCAATGTGGAACTAGATGTCCATCAAAAAGTTCTATGGAAATAAACCAAACATTAATTAAAATACCCAAAATGTTATATAATGAGCTTTAAAAACATGGCTATTACTGCCTGATGACAAGATCAGCGCTTTTGGAAAAATTCATTGGCCCTCATCAGACTTTTATGTATATGTTGTTATCTTCTAATTCACTTTGCTATATGGAATATATAACAATCCAAAATAAATGTTCCCAACAATCAGCAATTCATTTTTATATTTTCAACTGGAGAGTGATGGGTGATTATATTTATATAGTTGCTTTCCAACCTATTGTATTTTTCAATTCTATGGAAGACATGCGTGTGAAGACATATATTTGTGGGTATATGCACATAAACATGTAAATACATATGCATATATGCATACATGTATATACACAATTATTTCTATTCCACAGACGATGGAATATACCTGATTTTTCAAAAGTATACTGATCACTACATATAACAATCCCAACCCACTTTCCCTAGACTTCCTATCTCTATCTTCAAACCCGTTTTCAAAATTTGACATACATTAATTCTACTTGTTTACTGTTTGTCTCCTTCCACTAGAATAAAAGTTTCATGAGTACAGGGATTTTTATTTTTACACACAGATTCTAGTACAGATAATTAAAAACTCAATAGGTATTTTTAGAGTAAATGATTAAATAGGAGAAATTGTAACCTAAAATTCATGAACATAGGCAAGACGAAAAGTTCTCTATTCCCACCTCCACTTTATTATTTCTTATGTAAACATAAAAGCTAGTTACATCAAGGAAAAACAGCAAGGATTTTCTCTTACAACAAAGTAACAACTACCTTTCAAGGTCTTTTATATTTATAAATGCAGTAAATAAAAAAGCTGTTCACAAATAATTTTATCTTATCAAAAACAGAATCAACTAAAAGTGAATATTTTAAATGAAGAAATTCTGCACTTTGCTTTGCCATGCCTACATATTAAAAAAGATTCCATTCACCTGCAACTTTTAAGACACATCATGCAAACATACTCACCTAGGAATGTTTTAAGATCACTCTGTTCTAGTTAACAGGAATAAATAATATAAATAACAACCATCACTTTTACAAAACACCCTTCCCCCAAAGCAAAAATCTCAAAGTGCTCACAAAAAAATTTTACAACAATTTTACAAGGCACATATAAACCTAAACATTTTCAACCAAATTTTTCTTAAACATCCAAGATAGTAAATGCCAATTCCTAAAAAAATTCAGTTTATTTTACTCTCTCTTCCCATCCCGAGCCCTCCCCTTCAAAATTTTATCCTGGTAAGGAAAAATAAGTACTTCAAACACAAACTATTCCTGAAAGGGAAATACTTTCACAACTATAAATGGTCACTTACTCAAATGGGAAAGAAAATTAAGCACTGAAGTATTATTTTATCCAGTGGAAGAAAAACACTACTTTAGAAAAATTCTGTATCCAATGGAGTATTTATATAGCAACATTCATAGACACAAAACTCTCCTCTCTTGCTTTCCTCTTTTCTCAGTTCTCAAATAGAATTAAATATAATATGCAATTTTAGACCTGGAAATGATCTTACAAATTATCAAGACCAAAATTATTATATTAAAATTAAAGAACATTAAAGGACAGGTGACCTGCCCAATGTTATTAATTAGTGACCTGGGTAATAAAGTCAGTTTTTCTCATCAAATATGAGACTTAGAATCTTTAAAGTCTCCCCCCAGAGTAAAATTCTATGGAGAGTATCTTTCCCACACAAGTATCACAAAAACAATATTTTACATTTATAACAATCAATATGATTCTTCATGAAATTCTTATAAGTGGTACAAAGTATATTATGTTTTAAAATACAGGACATCAATAGAAATTAATTACAGTAGAAATTTTACATAAAGCTGAGGTAAGTAGAAAAAGCATAGAACAGCCTGAAAGTTAAATTTGTCCAGTCAGGCTTCTTTACTAAAAGTAGTTCCTGCATTTTAGAGGAGGTGATTTGCCCTGTGATATATTTTGATCTTTGTTATGACAATGAACATAAGTTTTGTATTATATGTAGGCAGGGACATTAAGAGAGCTGACTCAGAATATTACTCCTACTATAGTAATTATATGGTTTTGCTTTTCTGGAAATATCAAATAAAACTCTAAGAATGGGTAAGATTTTTGTTTAAAGAGCAGATAAAAAATGCATTAAATGAAAATATCATCACTAATAATTAACACTAGCAGCTATTCACATTTAAACCATTCATCTAGTAACAACTAAAATATATTGACAATTAAAAAGGAAAAAGGGAATGAAAATTGATACGTGCATGAATGAACCTCAAAGGCATTATGTTGCGTGGAAAAAAGTCTCAAAAGGGAATATACTAAGATTCCATTTATCTGACATACCAGAAAAGACAAAATTATAGTGATGAAGAACTACTGCCAGGGTTTAGAGCTAGGAAGAACTGACCACAAAGAGCAGCATGAATAAGATAAGGGAAGTGATGGAACTGTTCTATATTCCAATGGCAGTGGTGATACAAAAACTTAAAAATTATGATTTAACTGTATTAAGTAAAATCAATAGCCCCATTAATTATTCTAAAATATGTATAATGATAATAAAAATGAAAGTACTTTAAGGAATTTAACATTTTCTAAGGAAATTCTATTCCAAAGTGAATCTGAATTGTGTTCCTTTATAATTTAAAATAATAGGTATCTTGGTGTTTGTTTAGCAGAAAAGGAAAAATGTTCCTAGTAATACCTGTTCTTAAAAAAAAAATGACTAGTAATGAATAATAGTGCATTTTAAAATTTATTTTCTTTCATCATTCTTATTAATTAAAGTTATTATATAGTTGGATTTAACATTTAAATTAATTATGTAGACACTACAAATCAGAATCTGCAAATACTGTCGGATCCTCGGTCATCAGAATAAAAAATATTTAAGTAAAACACTATTTCTCAAAGTGTACCACTGGGACTTATATGTAACATACATGACAAGACAAGTCCCATAACTTTTTCATGCCTCTCACAATTTTTTTGAACTGTCAGAAGTTCAGAAAGAATAACATGTGAGGCAGACATAAAAGGGGAAGGGATGGGGAACAATAAAATTATTACAAATACTGCATTTCTAAAACCTACGAGAATGATACAAAGTTTACAAAGGAAGTCCATGATTCCATTTATAGCAGATCTTGCCTTTTAAGATCAGGTCTAGATAATTTTTCACCACTACTTCTGCCATGAACGGAGGTTAAATGCTTTTTGAGAGCAGACTTGTGCTTGAAATCCATATCACAACAATGGCATTTGTATGGCCTATCCCCACTGTGTATGTTCAAGTGGTCCTGAAGAGTGCTTTTAGCAGTAAAGGTCTTCAGGCACACAGTACACTGAAAGGGCCGAATGCCCATATGCCCTCGAATGTGCCGGTTAAGATTTTTCTTCTGTGTAAATGTTTTCCCACATTGTAAACATAAGAAGAGTTTATGCATCTTAAGGTGGCGCAGGTAGTTTTCTACATGAAGAAACCCTCGCGGACACCTGGGACACTGGTGCCTCAGTGAATAACTCTCCTCTAGGTTCTGAATCTCACTTGCTGTACCATGACTTTCATCAGTATTCTCACAAAATAAACCCTGACCTTGATTCCCAGGAACTTCTGCCACTCTGCTCTCCACTGTAGAATTAATCAATGAATGCTGTGTTTCAGAGAAATACAGGCTTGCTTTTGATGAGGTACAAGGCTGTGAAAACTGCCCATTTTCTCCACTAGCTGTACTGATAGATTCTACATGAAGGATACAAATTTCATTGTCTTTAAAACCCACATCTATTGGGGATAGCTCTGGTGACTTCATTTCCTTTCTCTCTGATGTCAAGCTTTCTACTGTGGTCTGTAACACATTGTCTTCCTCTTGTTTAACATGGAAATCTATGTTTATAGGGCTATCTTCTGAAATTTCAATTATCTCACAGTCCTTATCAGAACTTTCTTCTTCATTCTTAACATCTGGATCAGAAGAGTGACATAGGTCAGCGTGTTGGTTGTTGTTTTTCATAGATAGATCAATTTCCAGATACTTTGACAAAGCTTCTGTGCACTTTTCCACAATGTGAACCATCTGAAGGTAACTGGCAGCAGTCAAATATTTCAAAAGCTCTTTCCTTTTTACTTCAAGTGCTCCAGTGTAGCAAGAGAGCAACAATTTTCTGCCAACTTCTGCACTTTGCAGAATGGTGATTCTGACATGTTTTGATTGTGTGAGTAAAAACTGATCTCTCATGAAAGTGGAACAAGCAGCCAATATCACCTTGTGCCCCTGGAACTCAGTGTCATTAATATAAATTGATACATCACAAAATAAATTCTGCTGCCTCAAGAGATTCATTTTCTGCAAGACCACATCTCCTTGCTGTTCAAACTGGAAGTGCAGAACATCAGACTCAGCAGCCATGGTCAAAATCTAAGCAGAATAAAACACAAACATTGATATAAGGATAAGGAACGCTTCCTCCCACTATGATAGTAAGAATAATTCCCTTCCTCTCCAAAACCCAAAGCTGAAATGGAAAAAAAATTGTACTCTGGGTGCTAAGAGTGAACCTCTATATCACCATCTCAAAATCCAGAAAAGTATAATGCATTTGTCTATGACCTCAAGACACATTTCTCATATTGGCTAAATTTTATGTGCCTTGTGATCAAGAACACTCAATTTTTAGTATCCAGTAATAGGCAAAGTGATCACAAAAAAACTACACTTAGCATGATATCCCAAATTAGAAACTTTTATGTACAGACCTTCTGTTCCCCACGACTACTACAGTTCCTCAGCCCTGTTCACATGGATCATTGTAATGTTTTCCCCCAGGCTTCCTCAACATTAACAATCTCTTGTATAACCCTCCTGATTTCCACCCGAATTAACATCATCATCATAAATTAAACAACAAAAAAACTTCTGATTTAAGTCATCCATTGCTCTCCTTTAACTCCAGGATGGCCTTTAGGTTCTTAAAAAGAATGCACGATCCTTCGCTATTTAAGCCTAATTCACTTTTACATCTTGATCTCCCTCTACTAATCATACTCTTAAGTTCCTTAGATATTAAATTCTTCATAATCGCTCAGATAAAAACACCTAAATACACCTCTGCATAGTTATTACTTTCGCGTTTCCAGCTCCTTTTTCCAGCTCGTGATTAGGATCCTTTAAACCTAAAACAAATGAGACTACAGTGACTCCTCCCACAGGGTCAGTCGCTCTCAGAGCACCACGAGAAGACGCCTGATTCCTCCACGTTTCTCCGTGAGCATAGGAGCTACCACGGAGGGGGAAGAGGTCAGGCAACACTGTGGACCTAGCGCTGGATCACGGTGGCCCGGACGATCCCTCCGGCTCCGCGTACAGCAAGAGCCGAGTTTTCCGGGGCCAAGTCCCTATCGGCCGAGGCACTACAGCACCCAATTAGCTTCTCGGGGGTCGCGCACTGCCGCCCTCCTCCTCCTCTTCAGGCCTCGACACCTGGCGAATCGCCTTGGCGTTCACTTACCGACCCTGAAAACCGGTGTTGAGGCTTCCGCGGTAGCGGCGGCCGGGCCGGAAGGAGGACTTAGCCTAGGAGGAAACACATCCGGTGTCAATCAGCTTTATTGCTCACTCGGGGAGCCGCCTGGGCGCCCCGGAAGGACATCTGAGACTTTTCCTCAGACCCCCTACCTCCTGGAACGACAGAAAAGCACCCGAATGCCGGCGAGCCTCCTTTCTTCTTCTCAGTTTCGGGACGCGAGCCATTCCCCTTCGTGAGTCCTCCCCAACATCCATGTAGGAGACGAGTATGAAGTTGGGTCACGGCACGTGCGTTCCAGTACCCAACGCCGGAACCTGTGGAGGGTCCTTGCGGATTATTACGGGGCGGGGTTTCCCTTTACGAGGCCATTTACTTCTTGAAAAGTGGCAGAGGAAAGGAGAAACTACCGTAAGGATCTGTATTCAAGATTGCCTAACTAATGCCATCACGATCTGGGCCCAAAGTCTGAAGATAGCAAGATAAGTTTCAAGTCCACTCCCCAGTGCCCACCCTCTTTGGTCTGTCAATCTTTTTCTTTTTTTGCTGTGCTGGATCAAATCCAGAGCCTCGCTCCTGAAAGGCAAGACTATCTAGCTACATTCCAGCCCCAAAAGAACTGGGGATAGAAGCAGGGGCTTCAACCATGCAAAGCATTTCTTCCCACGTATCCTAATTGGTTCCCACTCCTATAATCCATTTGTCTGCCATCAATACTGCATTTATCATACCTGTTTTTATATTTGTGTCCCATACAGGAGGTATTTAAGATAGTACTTACTGATTTTGCTTTCCTAAAGTTTAGTACTTAGTAGGCATAAAATGTCTGAACCAGTTTTAAAAACAGCTGCTTTACCTCTCAGCCAATTCTCATGGAAATAGCCGATTCCAGTAATAACTAATTTTGGTTAACTCATATTTCCTTCTGAAAGTATATTCAGCATATTTGATTAATGTGCTTTAAAGAATAAGTATACTGGATTCATATTCAAGAAACCGAAAAAGCAGGAGGGGAGAGAAAAGAAAGTAAACCACTGACACCAGAGTTTTAATTGTCACACTTTTATTAAGGAAACTTCCCCATAATAAGTGAAGAGGTAGTTCATAGTATGTCTAACATACAACAGATTTAGAACAGCTAGTCATGAGCTGATATAAAATGTGTGGTTTGTTTAGGACAAGATTTTAGAAGTGGTGACACTGGTCACCTTCCATCATAGACCTAATGAAGAAACTAAAACAAATTAAAACCACATCTGATTTACCTTAGAACCACTTCAATTTGGAGTTTGTCTTTAAAATTAAATAATAAATAAATAACTGAGACACAGCCATTTTTAAAAACCAAACTGGAAAAGAGTCCTTTCTCCTTCTTAATTATGCTGGGGATGGATAAAATACAAATGCTGAAAGACTAAGATTTTAAAATTATTCTCTATAGGAACATGACTATGTTTGAAAGTCATCTTCCTGTATAAAATTTACTTTATATCAGAAACTTGACCTCTCTGCAACATAATCTAAGAAATATGTATAAGCTAAGAAGGAGAAAAGGCAAGTCTCACCAAAATTAGAAAATGTCTCACAGAAACAAAACACCTCTCCAACCAAGAATGGAGGAGACTGCAGATTACTTAGTGGTTTGTGCTTGCAAAAAGTGAGAATTAAAAGTTTTACCAAGAGAAAATCAGAAAAAATGCTTTAAGTGACCAAAGAAAACAAGGCAGTTTTATTATTCTAAGTAGAAAATCAAATTGAGACCACATAAGATTATAAGGTCCATTAGGGCAGGGACCATATCAAATCTTACCTTCATATCCTCAGTATCTATATAGTACCTGGCAACAGTAGGTGCTTAATAAATGTTTCTTGAGGCTGAAGGTGTAGTTCAGTGGTAGAGCATGTGCTCAGCATGCACAATCCCCAGCAAAAAAAAAAAAAAAAAGTTTCTCAAGTGACTGAACTAATTCAGAAATAGTCTCCAACCAGAGACCAATCATATTTGAACCCCTGCCTTTCAGTCTTCAAAAATAGTAACAAAAACAGGAAATGCATATGACCAAAGGAAGCATTCCAACTTGAAATTTTCCTGTGAAGAAATGATATTCAGAGAAAAAACCCAATACTGGTTGATACTCTAGTCTTACTGTTGCATAGAATTTATAGTCTTTGGATCATATACAAATCAGAATGCTAGAAAGCAACATTAGACTATAATAATGAGTGATGCTGGGCATATAAGGTACCTAGTGATCTTATCACTCAACTGTATTCTCAAATTTTTAAACAAAAGAAATTATACTTCAAATTTGACTCACATGTAAACGTTTCAAATTATGACCCATCAGACTATATGAATTAGCCCTTTTTTTGATTATCTTTGTATGCGTTCTATTGCCCAAAAATAAAAACAAAGTCCTGAAGAAAACGAAATAAACAGTTTTCCAGACAAATCAATTTCACATTGGGAGCCTTCTCATATTATTCTTACTTGCCTTTTCCCTCTCTAACCAATACTTAACATATCAGTCACTTGCTTGAGGAGAATGTAATACTTATCAAACTAAAAAATAATTAATGGGCTAGTGATATAGCTCAGTGGCAGAGTGCTTGCCAAGCATGCACGAGATGCTCTAGGTTTGATCCCCAGCACCACAAAAAATAAAATAAATAAGTCCCTTAGTGATATTTTGTTGGCAAAATCCAGGCTGTCTCAGAAAGCCAACAAGTAAACACAGAGGTGAAACAAACTGGGAGCTTTTTGCTAATGCATTATTCTCCATTGTGTACTAAATCTCTTTAAATCAAGGTATAATGGGAACAAGGAAGGAGATATTAATTTATATTTAGTCACTTATTGATTTTGGCCAGTCTTGGCCAGGACAGCTCTTGAGCTTTGGATGTCCCAACTTAAAATGAAAGAGTTGGAATAAATGATTTCTTAGGATTCTCTAAGTACTCTTAACAGTCCTATTGCTAATTCTAACTCAGGGTCTTAAATAAAACTGAAAATTCTATGCCTGAAATGTGCTTTGGGAGAAACAGTTGTTTTGTTTTTCCATACTAGAAGAGCAACTTTGTATTATCAATCTATTGAAAGTGGGGTGGGGTCCCTTTAAGAGGAGTATCTGAATGCAAAATTGTTCCAAAAGCACAAATTGTTCCTATGTCCCACTTAACTTTCTCCATATATTTTAGAAATTAAGATACATGAGGGAAGAATTAAGATACTTGTAGTTAACTGGACAAAACTCTATAGCCAGACTCACCTTTCTGATGGCTGAACTCTGATGTAAAGTTCAGAGACTCCTCAACAGCCCCCTTCTAGAGAAACCATTATTCTTTTGCACATTTCAAGTGTGCCTAAAACAATCATTATTTCAAAAGCATCACTAAGCTATGCTTTAAGAATATGGTCTCTTACTGGGATATGCTACTTGGAAGACCTTCCATGTGAGTACTGTTGTATTAATTGTATTTTTGTCCTTTGTTAATTATACTCCTCATGGTGATCTCTGTCTCCAGATGTGGCTGAAAAGACTGTACTCTAGTTTGTGTGAACAATGAGATGAAGTTGGGCTTCAATAGTGTTGAAAAGGGCATAGAACAACCAACGTACTTTTTGATAGCCAGCTGCAAGGCAAGTACAGATGGTAGGATGCAGACTCATTAATTTATCAGACATGGATGAATTATCAATAGGCAACCAGAGGGTTCTATCACATTCAGATCAACAGCAGTATTATCATATATCTCAACCTATTTTTTGCCCAAAAACAAAACTATTCACTTCTCTTAGCATAGCATCTATTAGTGGAGAGTGGGATGATATTGTTAATTTGTTGGTGACCTTCAGACTGCCTGGTAAAAGCCTAAAACAGTGTAAGTCTAAGACAACATTAGGTAGACAAATGGAAGTATTCCTTGGGAAAGGAAAACAGACATCACAGGATAAATAAAACATAAAATGGGAGAGATCAGAAGGAAGGCAAATCCACTCCAAGTGGTAAGTTGCCTGGTCTATTAGTGCTTTAACTCACCCCATACCACCTGCACAGAGGCTTCAGAGAAGTCAAACTAGCAAAACCACTCCTAAAAATACTCAAGACTATTGTCACATTCTCAGTCACTGCTAGTTGTGAGCATTAAGTCCCTACTCAATTCACACAAGTACTATCACTCCTTAAGTTCAGGACAGCTTGGGCCAGTTTACCTGCATCCAGGACCTGTGTTGCGTCAGGCTGTGGCTGACACCCTTTAGAGTCTGTGACTGTCGTACATGCAAAAGAATCAAAATCCACTGTGAGGTCTTGCACATTTCTCTCATTGGCATTATCAAAGCTGTTTTTGCCATGCAGCTGCTTAAGGTGTTTCCTCAAAACTGGCTTATGTGCAAAAACCATGTCACAATAGTTACACTTATGGGGCTTATCTCCACTGTGAAGGTTAAGATGATCCTGTAAGGAACACTTCTGAGAAAAGGTTTTCCCACAGATTTTACACTGGAAAGGTTTAATTCCGGCATGTACGCGCATGTGTCGATGAAGATTGCCTTTCTGAGTAAAAGTCTTGCCGCAGAGTAGACACATAAAGAGTTTGTGCATTTTTAAATGGTTGGCGTAGTTCTCCAGGTGACGAAACACCCTGGTACACTTTGGGCACTGGTGATGCCACTGTAAGCCTTTGTCTACACCTCGAATATTAGGCCCAAAAACATCTTTTGAGGTCATGATGATGTTATCACTGCCTGTATAAGAAAGGGCATAATTGTGGAGATGGTTTTGTTCTATTTCACTTACTCTGTTTTCCACAGTTGAATTTATCAGGGAGTGCTGGGGCTCTGATGAGTGTAAAGCAGTGGGTTCAGAAGAAATAAACTGGTTCTGATCTTTCTTACTTCTAACCTCAGATACATCCCCAATAGATTCTACCTTAACAATCTGAATATCACTGTCCTCCATATCCATACTGTCTTCAGATGGATGAATACAAGGTGAGTCCTGCTTTGGGGAGCCTCTGGCATCTCCCTGCTGTTCTTTTGACTGGGGAGAAGCACTCTGTGGTTCACATCCCTCTTTACTATCCATTGGTTGTTTTGGCTTTATAAACTTCCACAGGGCCTGTGTGCATCGTTCTACAATGTGGCTCATCTGAAGAAAACTCGCAGCAGTCAAGTAATTTACCAGTTCCATCTCAGGGAATTCCAGCACACCACTATAACAGGATAAGAGCAATTGTCTCCCCACTTCAGAACTCTGTAATATTGAGATTTTCACCTCTCTGGAATCATTCAGTAAAAACTGGTCTCTTAGGAAGGGGGAACCTGCAGCAAACACAATTTTATGCCCCTGTACCTCAATATCATCTATGAGAACTGTAACATCACAAAATTTATTCTCTTCTCTTAATTTGTTCATTTTTTGTAACATTGAATCTCCATAATTTTCAAACTTGAAGTGAAGGAGATCTGATCTTTCAGACATTTTGGCAGACCTAAAGAACAAAAATGTAAAAAGGTTGAATTTAAGGAAATTTAAACAATTAAGAAACCTGGATTTACCTTCCAAAACCAAATTTGTTGTCATGCTTTGTATGTATGCATATGAAATTTTCTTTGAAAGAGGAAGCTTTTGATGGCTATTAAAAATTGCTCCTTACCAATATCAAGGGTCAATTGCACCTAAAGAGTAGACATATATAAGTGTAAATAGCTGGGCATTCACTCAATTTTTTAGACACTTAATATAAGAATATATATTATATTGGATAATGCTAAGAATATTTATTCACTTCTCAAATGAGAATTCAGTCAGGTTTCAAAAGCAAACTAAAACATCCCAACCAAAGTAAAGATGAAGTGATTAGTTTCTTTTGTATGAAACTGTGGACCTGGGTCTCCTAAATCAAAATACTCTTCCTTTGCTTTGTATTTTAAAGAACCACAACAACATTGTTTGCCACATGCATTCCTGGACAGTCCCTTTCCTGTCTAGATCAGTGTGAATTCATTTTATTTTCATTTCTGTTTTGTTTTTCCACTGTGAATACATATGAGTAATTCTGTGATAAAATGAAAAAGTTACAGATGTAGAGGGACAATGTTTGGCAAGTATTCAAACATATTTCTTTATTCTGTTCATTGTGGATAAATCTAAACTCTGTTTTAAGAACATTTCTTGAGTTCGGCACCTTGGTACATGCCTGTAATTCCCCTTACTCAGGAGGCTAAGGCAGGAGGATCACAAGTTCAAGGCAGTCTCAGCAACTTAGTGAGGCTTAAGCAATTCAGTGAGATCCTGCCTCAGAATAAAAAAAGGTCAGGGATGTGACCCTTGGGGGATTCAATCCCTGGTACCTTCCAAACAAACAAAATCCTTGATATATAAAGAAAATACTTGATACAGAAAAGTCACGTGGTAGGAACATTAGTAGGAGTAATATAGATCTAATCAACCCCTTCTAGATTCTGTTCTTATCTCTTTTTCCCTATTTACCTATCAGTACTTTCACATGGACTACTAAATCCGATTCATAAGTATTTCTATTGGCTTCCAGTTTCTATTCCCTCTTATACATCACATGCCATCTTTTAAACACATGATTATATCTGACCCTGCATGAAATCCTTCAGTGACTTCCTGTTGTTTCTTGAAAGAAGACTAACCTCTTGAATAAGCTTGTTAACTAAACCTAATAATAATTAAGGCAAACATAGGCATAACCTTTTCAACCACAGAGAAAGTATCTTTGCCAAAACCCTTTGCACAGGGCTGGGGGATGTAGCTCAGTGGTAGAGGACTTGCCTAGCATGCCTGAGGCCCCGGCTCTCTGATCCTCAGCACTGTTTTTTAAAAACAAAACAACAACAACAACAACAACAAAACACTATGCATATTGGTCTGTTGACATAGCAGTGCTTTTGGATAGTCTCCATGTTCAATTTCCACACTCCAGATTTTCTCAGAACTTGGCTTCCCACGTGTCTCTCTAAAGGGAAAAGATGAATTAACCATACTAATGGTCTAGTAGTCATTGTAAAGATAATAAACTGACAGTCTCTTTTCATATCTTAAAGTTCTACAATCTCAATACATCTGAAAATTCACCTTGAATTTTTTGTATTCGTCAGTCTTTTAGTTCAGTTAAATGAGACAGCTAGTTTTCCTGGCCTTATCTAAACCTAAGGCCAATCTCTGACATTTTAAGTTCAATAACACTGATTTTCAGAGGCTCACAGAATATCAGTTCATGATAACAGAGTCCAAGTTTTGTTCCTATTCCTCAGTACCTGGTATGAAAGGTCATTATTCTATTGACTCTACATCTTATCACATATGTTTCCTTAGTATAGAACACTAACTTCTAGCCAGTTTTTATTTCCTCTGAGAGGCCCTTCCCTGATCCCTTAGAGTAAAAGAGTTGTCTCTAGGGTCCTTAGCAAAGTATTTCTATCAAAACCCTAAAATACTTCATTAAATACTTCCTTCCCCTCCAAACTCTGGTTACATGGCATGAGGGAAACCTCCATCCTATTCAATGGACTAATGCTGGAGCCCATATCTTCTTGGGTGAAATAGTCTTTTCTTTTGCTCTAAATTCTACTTATTGCTTGCCTCATTACTGGCTAAACTCTCTTCTATTCAAACTGGTGTGTACTCCCTTCACCTACTATTATATAAACACACAGCAGGTGACAATTTGTATTGGCTGAACCTATAGGGTTAATCTGAAAGTATTAAGAAGGAAGAATTGTTATGAAGACCATCTTATTGCCTGAATAGACATTACAAATCTGAAGCCACGAGGGCTTACAAAGGAATAAAAAAGGGAATGATGAGCAAGTAACAAAAGATCACTTAGAGAACTTGAAAACTCACTGGATATAGAGAATGAAAACCATAAATGTGTAGATTATATACCAGGTAGGTCAGCTGAATGTATATGAAAAATGGGAACTGGTATGGCACAGTTGATTAATAAAGTATATGCTTTCCCTCTGTATAGCATTCTGAATATATGGATAACAAATGATCACAATAAGTATTAAAAACTTCACTGAGAAAGAAGGGATGTAGAGAAGCAAATGTATCTAAGGAAAGGCAGTATCAAATATAGAGGAAACTAGAAGATACAGGAAGTATATCAGTAATCTAAAGCAGCAAACTCTTTATCATTGGTCAGTTTTAGCAATTGCAGTAGCTTAAAATGTCCACTGTCAAACTGGAATGGTGAATGTTGCAGTTGATAACAACCAGAAATTATAAAAAAGTTAAGTGGCTAAACAAAAATGGGATTCTAATTTTAAGAGTTCAGCTAGTCTTGACTGCTTTATAGCTGATCATGATACCCTCAAGTCAGTATTTTTCTACTCATTGTTTCCAACTACAGTGTGATAGCACTCACAGTTTTAGAGGGATAATTGTTCCTTGATACTCTAAACATGAGGAATGGTAATACAATTTCATTTACTTTTTATTCATCAGTTCTCAAGAAACTTACCATTAGTAGCCAAACAGATATCTTAGAAAAGTGCTTGCTTTAATCAATCTGCTATAGTCCAAGAATGTGAGGGAAAGTTACTCTTTTTAGGAAATTTTTCCAAATACCTGTCATTTTGCTGCACTGTCTCCTTCAAACTCTTATTTCCAGACCATTTAGTGTATCCTTTAATTGTTTCCTGGCATGAGTTCTCTTTTCAGTAGATTGTTAGTTATTTGATGGAAAGGACCAACTGTTGGTTATGCTTCACACAGTTTATTAAACAAAGATCAGCAGAATAATGCACTCGTAATGTTCCCTAAGGAATTATTATTGAGCGATGAAAGGAATGCTCTTTAGTATCATGATACTCTGTTGAGTACTTGGGGTAAAACATTTTTCAGGGGTTTGATTCCCAAAATAGTTTGGCCACATAAAACCAAAATTTAAACACTTTGTTTTGATGTTTTAAAAATAGGTAATAAGGAAAAAAACAAAAAAACAAAATAGGTATTAAAGGGCTGGAGTGTAGCTCATTGTTAAAGTGCTTGCTTAGTATACGCCCAAGGTTCTATTGATCCCTAGGATCACCTATACAGATATGGCCACAAAATATGTAATATAAAAATTATTAAATTTCTAATAAACTAGCTTAATTTTTTATTTTTTAAAAATATTTATTTTTTAGTTTTAGGTGGACACAATATCTTTATTTATTTATTTTTATGTGGTGCTGAGAATCGAACCTAGTGCCTCACACATGCTAGGCAAGCACCCTACCACTTGAGCCACATCCCTAGCCCCTTAATTTTTTAAATAAGAGAAATAATAATACCTAACCTTTTCTGCATCCTTGTTATAAGCCAAGTGTAATTCTAAATGTTTTACCTAAATTGACTTGTTTAATCCTGAAAATCTCTATAGCTAGGTATCATTATTATCCAAAACAACTTGCTGAAATTAAGTAGGAAGTGTTAAGTGTTGGAGCTAAACCGTGTGCCCAAGCTGCATTTATGCCAAATTCCATATATGAAACTAAGCTAGATGCAGTTTTGCCTAAAGGATTATATTTTAACTGTATAATAGTTCAGATTTCTCTCCTCAAGAGTAGGCCAAGAAAATCTATTGAGCTGTATACTTAAGATTTGTATGCTTTTGTATGTTTTATTAATGCTTTAGTACAAAGCTTATGTTTAGAAACAAAAACTACCACTTAAAGCCAAATTTGCATCAAGTATAAAAAATTTTAATGGTATAAATCATTTCTGCATTGGTTATATTCCTGATTGCATTTAATGTCTTTTGCCTTGTTATACCTTCCTTTCCCATCTAACTTTATTATTAGTTTTCCATCTTTTATATATTTACATTTGTTGATTGAAACTTAATACCATTTGCAAATAACACAAAACAAACATGAATATATTTGATTTCAGAATCCCCACCTGTAAGTAACTTCTAAGTATAGTAGTAATTATTCATAATATTCATAAAAATCACTTATACAATTATGGATTATAGTACGGCTCCTTGTAATTGAAAGAAAGCAAAGAATTCATCAGGTAGAATGGAGACATTGGCACCACATTCTGTTGATTCTTTCCTTAGAATGATTCCCAAATTCTCTTACTTGTTCTTAATGTCATTGCCACAGGTCAGGCCTCCTTACCATCTACTGCCCAGGTTACTGAGATTAAATCTAAATACTGGGCTGGGGTTGTAGCTCAGTGGTAGAGCACTTGCCTAGAATGTGTGAGGCACTGGGTTAGATTCTCAGCAACACATATAAATAAATAAAATAAAAGTCCATGACAACTAAAAAAAATATTTTAAAAATTTAAATACTCCTGATAACCATTTCTTTAACATCAATGTAAACAGAGATATTCTCACTTAAGATTACATTTTATTTGCTTATATTTACACAGTCCTTCTATTAATATTTTAGAACAGAATTAAAATTTTCCCTTTGTTCAAACAGGAATAATCAAAAAGGGCTAATGAATAGCCTTAGGGTGGCCAAGCAGTGAGAAAGTACCTAAGTTTCTTATCTCAAATTCCCATAATAACTGCTAAGAGAAACTTTTCTTTCTGGATAATAAACTCCTAAAACCATGCTAGTCTATTTCCTTATTTACCTCACAGAGGGCCTTTATCCTTCAATTCAGCACTAACAGTGACCTGGTAGTCTTGTTTCTCACTAACATAATATGCCATTTTCTCAAATAGGCTGTATTATGCTGCAGCCTTCCTATCTGTAAACCTCAGTACTTTTCTTCTTTTGAGTGACTTTCATGAAGCTATATTCTCTTAAGTTCTCAATCGTTTGTCTTGTTTGGACTTTTTTTTTTTTTTTAAGGGAGGGGGGAGTGCTGGGGATTGAACCCAGGAACTTGTGCATGCAAAGCAAACACTCTACCAATTGAGCTATATCCCCAGCCCTTGTTTTGACTTTCAAATATAATAAATATATATAGAAATATATCCTTTCCAGAAAAATTTTAATCATTGTAGATAAAATTCCTTTTCCCGGGTGCCTACTACTCAATACTTGGTCTTTCCTGATGCTCATTGTTCCTATTTTAAAAACAATACTAATACATGGCTACCACAGAAAACATAAACATGTTTCTTATACATAAATTGTTTTGCAACTTGCTTTTTTCATCTATTCTTTTTGAGAGCTAATTGGGTGGACAAATATAGAGCTAGCTCATTCTTTATATTATTTCATTTTTTATAGTTGTAAATGGACAGAATGCCTTTATTTGTTTTATTTTTATATGGTGCTGAGAATGGAACCCAGTACCTCACACATGCTAGGCAAGTGCTCTGCCACTGAGCTATAGCCCCAGCCCTATTTTATTTTTTTTTGGTGATGGGATTAGAACCCAGGGCCTTGCACAAGCTACATGAATTATACCACTGAGCTGTATCCTTAGCCCTAGTTCACTTTTTTTAAACTAATGTACAGAAGTAAACAAGTTTCTTACCTACTTACCTCAGTTTTCTTTTTTCTTGTGGTGCTGGGTTTTGAGCCCAGGGCTTTGTGCTTACTAGACAAGCACTCTGCCAACTGAGCTATATCCCCCCACCCCAACCTCAAAAGTTTTTTTACTATTGTTTTGCTAGTCTTTCCTTGAGGATTCACTAAATTAAGTGAAGGAAGTATATCCTTCAAAGCTCAGTCTTGGATTTTTGCAATGCTTTTTCAAGACTTACTCAGAAAGCCTGTATTGTTTCTCAGTGTTTTATTATCCTCTTTATGTTAATAATTCCTAAACCCACATCCTCATCAGTAACCTTTACCTCAATTTAAGCTACTCAAAAGTGCCTGCTCTAGGCTATTTCTCTATTACTTAAAATGCATGTTGCCCACACTGTTACACTATATCAAACTCAGCCAATTAAGAAAAAAAAAATTATGGAGATGCCTTACAGAACAGTGACTGCACAGGCAAGGAAACCTTTCATATGATGTTATTCTAACAGATCAAGGCAGAAAAGATGAAGGCCTGAATAGAAATAATGATAATGTGGATGGAGAGAAAATAGATTTAAGAGATGTTTCAAAGAACTAATAATCTTGCCAGGGGTGGCTCATACCTATAATCTCAGCAACTGGAGAAACTAAGGCAGAATGGTAAGTTTGAATCCATCCTCAACCACTTGGTGAGACCCTGTTTCAAAACAAATGGGTGGGGGGTCTGGGATATGGATCGGTGGTAAAGAGGGCCCCTGAGTTCAATACTCAGTAATGCAATTAAAAAAAAAAAAGACAATCTTGGTTACCAAAGTGGAGAAGAAAGGAAATAAGAAAGTCAAGATGACTCCAAGCTATTTGAGTGATTAAATATCTTTGGCTGTCATTCAGTAAACTAGAGAATACTAAAGGGGATGAATCTGGTATTAAAAATAGTGAGTCAGAAAAGCCTACATAACATCATGATAAAGATTTATTAGCTAGGTGGATTTGGATTCATGGCAAGTGATAAATGAAAGCATAAAAGTGGAAGAAATAAACCTAAGTTGGCATAGAAGAGAGGAAAAAAATAAGAAATATATCACAAACATAAATTCATTACTTACCTTTTCAAATTGTGTCTCCTTCCAAGCCTCTCCATTTTTTTTTAAGAATAAGCCTATCTTTTCTTAAAATTTTCGTACTTACTCCTTTGCCTCCCAAAATATTGTCTCTGCAAAGTAGTGGAGGCAAAACATGGACTCTTGAGCCATATTTTCTACAAGTAAAACCCTGCTCAACTATAACTATGTGACTTTGTGCAAATTACTTAACAATTCTGCTTCAGTTTTCCTGTCTACCAGTATTTAATTACTTTATACTGTGGTTACGGAGAATTAAATCAGGTAATTTGCAGGGGGAGGGGCACTGGAGATTGAACCCAGAGGTGCTTAACCACCAAGCCACATCCCAGGCTTTTTTTATATTTTATTTTGAGACAGGGTTTCACTGAATTGCTGAGGCTGTCTTTGAACTCATAATCCTACTGTCTCAGCCTCCTGAGCTGCTGGGATTACAGGTGAGAGCCACCACACCTGGCTAAATAAGTTAATTTTTAAAAAAAGCTTCAAATGTTGTATGTGATCTATAAGCATGTGTTAAGTAAATAGACAAAACCTGTCAGTTTTTATTGTGAAATCCCTCATATGCATTCTTTTCTGATTCCCACTTAACCAATTCTCCATATATCATTTTTATTTTTTAATTTGAGATAGGGTTTTGCTAAGATGCTGAGGCTTGAACTTGTGATCCTGCCTCAATCTCCAAAGGTGCTGTGATTACAAGCATGTGGCTCCATGCCCAGCCTAAAATTGACTTTAAAAGGTCACTAATGATCTCTTAAAAATGAAATTAATCACTTTTTCCCCTTCTCATCCCTCAGGTGCTTTTGCATGAATTAATCGAGCTGAGTCTTCAATTCTCTTGATAAGTGGGTCTTCTTGGTTGCTAGAACCCTCTGTTTCCACTACTGTACCAACTACTACTAGTTACAGTTCTTTTTCAGCTTCATAAAATGCATCCACTACCCTCCCCTGTCAAAATGTCCTTCTTCCTCAACACTCCCTTTTTGATGCCAGCTCTTCCTATAGCTTCCACCTGTATGCCACTGTGTTTTGGCTGATCTCCAGATGTACACTTCCAACTCTATGCTGGGTGCGTTCTGTGTGGCTATCCCATTAGATTTCAACGTGTACAAAAAGTGAATTTGTAATCTACACTAACCTTATCATTCAGTTTCTGATTATGGCATCATATTTTTCAAAAGACTAAAGTATATGAATGAGATTAGATTTGATACCTTTTTCTCCCTCAACATAAATTACCTATGGAGTCTTGACACTGTTATGTCAAGCAACCAATATTACTGTCGTAACTCTAATTCAGGAATTTACTGCCACTCCCCAAACTTATCCTATTACCCCCTTTAAACTTAATTACAATAAGTACTTAACCATTATCTTTAAAAGTCCAGATTCAGTTAATAGGAATTTCTTCCTTATAGGCTTATTATAGAAAAAAAATGACTTTTTGCAATGAAAATCAGACTCATCAAAAAACTGTCATTAGAATTAAACCTTTCACTGTCTGGCCCCAGTCTACTTTCCTCAAACTTCATCTTATGCACAGAAGCTCCCCCAGCCCCACCCCGATTTACTCTTTCACACATTACACTCAGTCAAAATAGTAGCACTCCAACTGTTCGTTCTAATTGAAAGCCTCTTCCACACTTTATCCTCGCCAAGAAGTATAATTCAGATGTCTTTCTAAAGTCTTCCCAGCACTTCTCCTTGAACAGTTCGTACATATAAAGCAAACTATCTATCCTTCTTTCTTTCCCTCTCTCTCTGAGGTGCACTTGTTTATATATGGCTCACACACTAGACCCTGAAAATTTTAACGACATTTAACGAATCCCCAGCGCCTGGCATAATGCCAACAATGTACAAAGTGTTCTGGCCACTGGCTGAACTGGGGAAATCCCATTGAAAGAGTAACTCGTATTCTCATGGGTTGGCGCTAAAGGCCTTGCCTTAGGCAGGCTCCCGCAGATCGTTTACCCGGGCCTCAACTCTGGCACTTTCAACAAGACGTCAGGGTCCAGCATCGGGGTCAAATGTTGGGCCCTCGGTTGGGGTGCCAAGATGCGGTCCCTAGGGTATGTTCGGGCTCCCCACTCCAGAAGCAAGGAATGGGGAGGGAGGCAACGTGGGCCGGACTAAGGGCTTAATTAAGTCCCCTAGGGCCTAGGCTAGTCTCTTGGCCCTCTTTTTAGTGCAGGTCCCGGCCCATCCAGGGCCCCAAGGGGTTCCGTTTTGAGACATCCCGTATCCCAGCCCGGTGCTCCGGCCGCGTCGAACTTACAGACCCGGGGGTAGGTCGCCGTCAGGATCCGGCACAGCCAGGAGCTCCGGCCCCTCGGGGCTCCGGGAAGGGGGAGGGGCAGGGAACCGGAGCCAAAGGGGGACCCAACGGAACCGGAAGGGCAGCCCTGGCCGGACAAAGACAACTTCCAGGTCCCATGGTCATCTCCACCAATCGGAATGCTCGGAGGACGACGGGGCCTCGAGAGGGACTTTCCGCGCTGTGGGCGGGGCGCGGGCAGAATGCCCAGTACTCTTGCCACTTCGTTAGCTTCCCGCTGGAGCTGTGGTTCGTGAAGTGTCCGTGGCTTCGGCCCTGTGTGTTTCTCGAGGATCAGTTGACCCAGGCTCCCTTCTCGGCGGCTTTTCTCGAGCTGGGCCTCCGCCGTCTGCTTCATGGCGTGGGCCTGAAGGGCGCCTCCGCTCTTAATCCTTGGTAAGTCCCTCCCGTTTAGGGATGTGGACTCGACGCGCGGGAGCCAGGAATGCAGAAAGCAGTTTATTCTCATTTCGGTGTTTGTTAGGAATCTTGCCTCGGGGTTCTTTCTCCTCCCATGTCAGTCCTAGGGTAATCTCTTGCATTCACATTCCAGATCCTTTACAGATCTTTCTCGACATCCCAGATACCTGTGTTGAGCTCCAGAGCCAACCGTCCAGAAGACATCTTCCAATTGGTTATCCCAGTGTTAATATGCCTTTTGAGTATCTCAAGTTCATCTCCAGACCTGCCTCCACTCAGCCCCTGTAGTTCACGTGTTGGTGAACTGCATCATCCTTTAATTCCTCCCTAACCAGAAAATTTTAGTATCATTCTAGAACCATTTTCATTGCCTTTCAATCCCATTGTTTACTGAATTCTCCCTATTTCTCCCCCCCGCCCTTGGGGCGGTATTGTGAGAAAGTATAATCATTTTAATCTTTTGTGTTAAATTCTGTGATTAATTACATTCACGATGTTGTGTAACCTTCACCATTAGTTCTGTTCAACCTTATCCTTTTATGTGTGATATACAGTTTTGTTGAAAAGATGTCTTTCCACGTTAAACAGTCTTGGCATTCTTGTTGAGAATCAACTGGCTACATATACGTAAACGTGTATTTCTGGACTATCTATAGTACAGTGGTCTATATATTATTTTGTTAGTACATTTATTACTATTAGGATTGAAGTCAGGGGTACCTAACCACTGAGCCACATCCCCAGCTAAGTTGCTGAGGCTGGCTTCAGACTTGTGATCCTCCTGCCTCAGCCTCCTGAGTCAATACTGTTTTAATTACTTTAGTTACAGCTGTTTGGAAGTTGCACCTTGTAAGCTCTTCAGTTTTTTCTTTTTTCAATATCATTTTGTTAATGTCAGATTTTTTTTTCACTTCCATCTGAACTGAGAATTGACTTTTCCAGTTCTTCAAAAAAGGCTTTAGGAATTGTATTGAATTTGTACCTTGCTGTGTATATCATTGACAACTGTGTATTATTATTATTTAATATTTTTATTTCAGATGTATACAACACCTTTATTTAATTTTATGTATTTTTATATGGTGCTGAGGATTGAACCCAGTGCGGCAAACCTGCTAGATGAGCACTGTACCACTGGGCCACAACCCTAGACCTACAACTGGATATTATTGACAACAGTTATGTGTACCTATCCATGAACATGGGATATATTCCCATTCTTTTAGTTCTTTGTTAATTTTATTCAGCTTTCAGGTTTTCAGGATGTGTCATTCATTTAGATGATATTTTGATTGAATTACTTCCTCTTCATATTTATTGCTAGTGTGGAAAACAACTGTTTATGTATATTGTTATTGTATCCTTGCAACTTTACTGAATTTGTTTATTAGCTATGGTAGCTATACTGTGGATTCTTTGGAATTTTCTACATCTTAGACAGTGTAGTCTGTTAGTCTGTGATTACAGATTGCTTTATCTCTTTTCCAATACAGTTTTTTTTTTTTTTTTTAACGTGTTTGCTTTTTTCTTCTTCTTCTTCTTCTTCTTTTTTTTTTTTTTTTTTTTAAATCTGGTAGCTCTGGATACTGGAACAGTGTTGAACTGCAGCAGTGGAAGTGAGCATTATGTTTTATTCTTGATGTTAAGGAAAAAGCTTTTCATCATTGAGTATGAAGTTTCTCATACTGTGGATTTTTCATTAATACCTCTATCATGTTAAAGAATTTCCTCACTATTTAAGTTTTCTGAGATGTTATGAAAGGGTGTTGGATTTGATCAGATCTCTTTTCTGTACCAATTGGGATGCTTGTATACTAACTGTCTTCATTCTAGTTTTGTAATGTATTATATTAATTGATCTCATGTGGAACTAATTAGGATGAATTCTACTTGGTTATGATGAATAATTCTTATAATATGCTTTTGGATTATATATATATATATATATATATATAATCTTCATTTATTATTTATTTATTTTTATGTGGTGCTGAGGATCAAACCCAGGGCCTCACACCTTTTGAGGCAAGTGCTCTACCACTGAGCTATAGCCCCAGCCCTGATTTGTTTATATTTTGTTGATTATTTTTGCATTTGTATTCATAAGAGATATTGATCTGTAATTTCTTGTGGTGCATTTATCTGGCTTCGTTACCAATGTAATGCTGGCCTCATAAAATGTGTTAAGAAACGTTCCTTCTTCAATTTTTTGCAAGAGTTTGAAAAGCATTGTTAGAAATATCTCCCTAAAAGTTTAATAGAATTCACAGGTAAAGCTGTGTGGCACTTTGTTTTGTTGAGAAGTTTCAATTGCTGATTCAATCTGTACTTGTTATACATCTGTTGAGGTTTTCTATTTCTTCTTGAATCAGTTTAGGAAGTTTTTATGTTTTAAGGAATTGGCATGTAATTATTAATACTAATCTCTTATATCTGTAATGTTGAGAGTAAACGCCTCACTTTTAATTTCTGATTTTAGTCATTTGTGTAATATCTTTTTCATTCTTCATTAGTCTAACTTAAGTAAGGGTCCTCAATTTTGGGGTGTGTGTGTGTATGTGTGTTTGTTTTAAAGAAACCTTGCTATGTTGCCCAGGCTTGTCTCAAATTCCTGAGCTCAAGCGAAGCTCCTATCTCAGCCTCCCAAGTAGTAGAAATTACAGGCAGTTACCACCATGCCTGGTTTCATTGATTTTTGTTTGTTTGTTTGTTTTTCTGTACTCTAATTTGTTGATCTCTATTCTGATTGTCTTATTCCTTTTCTTCTGTTAGCTTTGGGTTTCGTATGCTCTTCTTCTTATAGTTCCTTAAGGTGTGAACTTTAGGTTTTTGATTTGAGAACTTTCTTCTTTTGGAGGGGGGAGTTTACTGGGGATTGAGTTTAGGGGCACTCTACCACTGAGCCACATCCCCAGCCCTTTTTTGTATTTTATTTAGAGACAGGGTCTCACTGAGTTGCCTAGCGCCTTGATTTTTTTCTGAGGCTGGCTTTGAACTTTGGATTCTCCTACCTCAGTCTCCTGAGCCACTGGGATTACAGGCATGCACCACCGCACCCAGCTTCTTCTTTTTTAATATGGTTATTTACAAATGTGTATTTCCCCTCTGATCACTGCTTTTACTCTAACTTATAAGTTTGGGTATATGTTATTTTTATTTGTGAAAATTTCCAGTTTTTGTTCAGCTGCTATTTTCTTTTTTCTTTCTTTCTTTCTTTTTTTTTTTTTTTAGAGAGAGAGAGAGAATTTTAATATTTATTTTTTAGTTTTCGGCGGACACAACATCTTTGTTTGTATGTGGTACTGAGGATCGAACCCGGGCTGCACGCATGCCAGGCGAGCGTGCTACCACTTGAGCCACTTCCCCAGCCCATCAGCTGCTGTTTTCTAACATCATCTCATCATGTTTAGAGAAGATACTTTAGTTATCTATCTTATTAAAAAATAAATAAACTAGACATGTTTTATAGTCTAATGTATGGTCTATCCTGGTGAATGTCCCACATGCACTTGAGAAGAATGTGTATCCTATTATTGGATGGGATGATCTATGTCTGTTAGGTCTAGTTGGTTTTAAGATGTTCAAGTTCTCTATTTACTTACTAATCTGGTTTTTATTCTAGCACTTATGGATTATAGGGTATTGTAGTCTCCAACTATTATTGTAGAACTGTTTTACTACTTTTAATTGTATCAAGTTTTTGCATCATATATTTTGAAAGTCTGTTACTAGATAAGTACATTTTTATATAATCTTACTATATTGAAATGTTTATTAATATATGTTATTCTATCTTTTTAACCTTTTTAAATTAAGGTCTATTTTGTCTAAATTTAGTATAACCACCCCAGTTCTCTTATTTACTATCTACATGGAACATCTTATTTTATTAATTTCAGCCTTTTTCAACCTAATTGTGTCTTAAGGTCTAAATGAGTTTGTAGACAGCATGTAGTTGGACCATGGTTATTTGTTGTTGTTGCTATTTATTTTATTTACCAAAGATTGAACCTAAGGATGCTTAACCACTGAGCAACATCCCCAGGCCTTTTTATTTTTTCAGACAGGATCTCGCTAGTTTGCTTAGGGCCTCACTAAGTTCCTGAGCTGGCTTTGAATTTGCAATCCTCCAACCTCACTCTCTCAAGTTGCTGGAATTACATGTGTGTGCCACTGTGCCCAGTTGGACTATGTTTTTTAAAAAACTATCTGCTCATCTCTGTCTTTTAATTGGAGAGTTTAAACCATTTATATTAATAATGTTAAGGAGGAACTTATATCTGTCATTTTTCTATTTTTTTATTGTTGATACCTTACTGCTTTTTAAAGTTCTCATTTCCTCCATTACTATTGCCTTTTCTGTTTAGTTAGTTTTTGTTTAATCTTGAAGTGTTTGACTTCTGCATTATTTCTTTTTGTAATCTACCGATACTTCCTTTGTGGCTACAATAGGATTTAACATCTGTATTAATCTGTTTTCTGCTGCTAACAATACCGCAGACTGGGTAAGTTAGAAAAAAAAAAAAAAAAAAAGAGGTTTATTTTGGCTCACTGGTCTGGTTCAAAGTTGAGGAGCCAGTCTGTTGATAGTCTTGAAGCCTGTAGAGTCCCAAAGTGGCAGGGG